CATGACGAACAGAGTACGTAGAAGGCTTCGGTGGTCATCTATGAGATGTGCAGTGACATGAACTGCTACTCTGAAGGGTATAATGCTCGCGCGAGGCCTGTCCCCGCAACCAACAAGATCATGCCGTCATGCCTTATTCTTGAACCGATCCCCAACGCCGTTTTTTTCCCCATCCTCGCGCCGCGAGGCATTTAAGCCTGCTGGTCAGCAAGGATGTCGGAGTCACCGGCATCCGTGATGGCCATAACGCCGACCTGTGATGTTTGTCAGAGGCGTGACGATTGGTACCGGGGGCACGATGGTTACTTACACGGAAGAGCTTACCGCAGGCGGTACCGAGCTCAATCTGGAAGGAGGGAAATGTCAGCCATTTGAATAAGCCCTCCAAAGCCTTGTGAAAGACTTCTTCTCTGGGCAGGCCGAGGGATGACGCTGAGCGTGCTTCCACAAGGCCGATAGCAAGAGGAGACGCGGAACCAGTCCGTGTTTGGTGTAGGCGAAAAAGTATTCAACTTACGTTGGTGCCAGTGAAGTGGTGGACAGGGGCCTTAGAAAGCATGGCGTAGTCTATTCAGGTGGTGATTAGTGATGCGCAAGGCACAATGCGAAATGAGGAATACTCACACTCGAGCTCGGACTTGCGGAGGGGAGGAGTGTTGCCAGCGATCAGGATGAGCTTGGCCTTGCCGGAGCGGAGGCTCTTGAGGGTGCTCTTGTAGCCCATCACGACCTTACCGCTCTTGAGGACAAGGGCAAGCTTGGAGTTGCTGGAGAGATGTCAGCCGGTGATCCTCAATTTGCTGTCGTCGAGCATCGTCCTGCTGGCGCAAATCGAAACTTCAAACAATAAAAATTCGTCTGCGGCAGACAGGCCGAGGCGCGAGCCGACATGTTGTCAAACGTACATGCTGTTGGCATCCTTCTTGCTCTTCTTGATGGGGGCCATTTTAACGGTGTTGTCGACTGACGGTGATCCGGACTGGGTGGACTGGTCGTTGGGCGTTGGGCGAGGTGGTTGACGATGGCGAGCTGGGCTAGAGGGGCACTGATTTCGTGGATTTGTAAAAAATGGCAATTTTCGTCAGTCCGAGCAGGGGCGCGGCGCCCCACCGGTGACTCCCCACCGGCTGATGACCAAGCAGCCAATCATTCCACGGCGGCGAGAGGCGAACCCTAAAGACCCGAAGTCTTCCCGTGCTTTGAAATCCACCTAGCCACTTCACTTGGGCAAGTTTTACAAAACGAGGTCGATTCTCCCCGCCCAACCCGACCATCAACACCAAACCACCCGACCGGAACCCCCGCGAATACCGTCAAAATGGCTCGCCGTCCCGCTCGTTGCTACCGGTACTGCAAGAACAAGGTCAGCAGCCGCTCCCCTGCTGTTTTCGAGATTTTCGCCCAGTTGGAACCTGTCGATGGAAATTTGGGCGTCGGAGAAGGATTTTGGACACGATGACGAAATGCGATCGACGAGAAGAGTCCGGCTGGGCAGGAATTTCTCGAAAAACAAGAGCAGCGAAATGCATAAATTGGGGGACAAAGTACTGACCTTCTTTCCAGCCGTACCCTAAGTCGCGGTTCAACCGTGGTGTCCCCGACCCTAAGATTCGCATCTTCGACCTCGGTCGCAAGCGCGCCAATGTCGACGACTTCCCCCTCTGCATCCACATGGTGTCGAACGAGTACGAGCAGCTGAGCTCCGAGGCTCTTGAGGCCGCCCGTATTTGCGCCAACAAGTACTTCGTCAAGACTGCCGGCAAGGAAGCCTTCCACCTCCGCGTCCGCGCTCACCCCTTCCACGTCGTCCGCATCAACAAGATGTTGTCGTGCGCTGGTGCCGATAGATTGCAGACCGGTATGCGTGGTGCCTGGGGCAAGCCCAACGGCACTGTCGCCCGTGTCAACATCGGCCAGATCATCATGAGCGTCCGCTGCAAGGATTCCCGTATGTTTGAGCCCCCATGTCCATCGACGTTGCACTGAAGGCTGGCGCTAACAAACCACAGACCGTGCCGTCGCTCTTGAGGCCCTCCGCCGCTCGCAGTACAAGTTCCCCGGTCGCCAGAAGATCATTATCTCCAAGAACTGGGGCTTCACTCCCCTCCGTCGTGAGGAGTACCTCGAGAAGAAGGCTGCCGGCCGCGTCAAGGTCGACGGTGCCTACGTCCAGTTCCTTGCCAACCACGGCAACCTGGCCCAGAACATCCGCCGCTTCCCCGATGCCTTCGCCGAGACCGAGGCATAGAGGATGTTGTCGAAACGTCTGGGTGATGAATGGGTTTCTAAGGATTGGCGTCTAGAGTGAAAGCACGTCCCGTTTGGGACCTTGCTACGGTAGGGCCCAGATAGGAATTTGATCATCTGCATTCCCATGACCAGAGATGTCCCATGTCGCCTTTGTGATGGTCGCCTCAATAATCCTGGCTATGATCGCGACGCCAAAGTGCAGATTTCGAAACATAGTACGGCGCTTTTATTGAAAGATTGGTGAACAGCAGGGTCATCACAGAAACGTTAACTTGTATAATGTTCAGGAATCACTGGATCAATAGGAAGAGCTTGTTACACTGTGCAGCCTCACTCGCAGCCACTTGTTACTGCTTTAAGCTTACCTAGCAATGGCGAATCAGCAGTTGACGACGGCAGGTACCTAGTTTACCCAACCACATGACCTCGCGACATGATGCGGTGACGTGATCGCGATTCAGGTGCTCAACCCCAGGTCATACTCCGCTCATCGCCTGCTATGCCCACCTGCTTTCTGGAAAGAGCAGCATGGTTGCCAAGATTCTTTGGACGTTGTATTTGCTCGTTTGAAACGCTGATTCGCGCGTCTTGGTAGGCCCAAAAACATGACAGTGGCCCGCGGGAGGCAGTCACCGACAGTCTGGGCAAGACTTTTTCCTGAGTCTGTAGAGCTGTGCGGCGGTACAGTCTGTGGCAACATTCAGCTTACAAGGCATCTTGTCGGTCCATTCGGCTGGCTGAAGCTTCGACTAAAGTAGGTCTTACATTGATGTCTTAGGTAAGGTACGGCAAGTACGAAGCTAGGTAGCCCGCGATGTCGCCCGGTTGGTTCAGTGAGCTTGGCTGAGTCCCTCCTGTGGGACTCCATTCGCTCATCACTTCCGCCTCCAGGCACATCATGGGGGGACCCGAGACCAGTAAGGCGTCAACGGGTGTCCACTGCACGCGACGTGGTCGGGGGGCAATTGACCACATCATGCAAAGCTGCTTGTTGGGAGAGTGTGCGCCACGACTCACGTAGCGCTCTTATCGCCAGCTCAAGCCACCCCCCTCTACGTGTCAGTTTGGCAGGGCCGTTGGTAGTGAGTAAGTGCCTGACCATTTGCATCCCCAGCATCAGGAGGCATTTCTTGTTCGTGTGTCTTCATTTGCGCGACCATTAATCGTATGCGCTCAATCTTACGGAGCTTTGTCGGAAAGTTGCTGTTGACTCACCTCCTCTCACCTCAATACCTCCGATCCGACGGTCTTCGAGTTTTGGCGGCTTTCCCCCGAGCCTAAAGCGGTGGACGCTCGTTGAGCTGACCCCACCCTCCCATCTTATCTCGTGAGCTAGAGGCTATCGCTCTGATAGCGCACCTGCCGCTCCGGGCGTCTATGTACACCACCGCCCGCTCCTGCTCCTGCTCTGTCCTCGCCTCCTCGATCGGCCTGGGCATCTACCCTTTTCTTCCTTTTCAGGATTCACGCCCATCTCAGCACAATACCGCCTGGCTCAGCCATGGCCTTCCACCAGCAGACACGCCAAAACGTTCAACGGGCAATCCGTCCCGTCGCAGACCAACAAGACGAGACTCGGCTTCACAGTCATCACCTAGAGCAAGCCACCCCCGAAGACTCTCAGACATGGGTGCTCTTCTCGCCGGCCACCGATGCCACAACATCGGCCTCTTACCTGAGTGATGCGGAGGAGTCAATACCCACTCCAGGACGATCACGTCTCAGCGATATTGGCAGCCTCAATACGGTCCCTCGCTCCAACCAAGACACAGGCTCCCGTCATTCGGTTGTTCTCTCTACGGCTATCGATGACGAGTCAGTCGAGGACGATGCCGAGCTTGACAGCTTGGATAGCCACCTGCCCGACTTTCGCACATTTGCAAGTGCCTACCAACATGTGGACAGTTCTCAACATGCCGCTCCTGTGCTGCCAACACATGATGGGCTCGGCTCCTTCAGGCTTGACCACCCGGTCGGACCCGAAGTCCAAGACCATCTGTATGCGTTCGAGCAGTTCAACCCCAGGCGAACACGGAGGAGACGGGAGAGTCTGGACATGGCCGAGTTGCAACTGCAGCAAGAAGAAGACCAACAAGCACACAAGATACAGAGAATAGAGGCTTGGCGACTAGAGCAGAGCCGAGTCTTGCTCGAAGAAATCCACAAGGAGACAAGACGCAGGAGGAAATCACAGTCTTCGGCGCGGCCACAAAGTCAGATGATGGGAAATTCAACATCATCTCCCGCCGAAAGGGAAAGGACCACAGTTGACCTGGCAGAGCCTGACAGTATGGATTGGCATGAAGAGGCGTCTCCTGACAGCGACGAAGACAGTGGCTTCTTCGCCCGGCTCACACGCAAGGTCATTCGCGACCTCATCGGCATTGATGAGCGGATGCTTGCAATCCTCCTTGGCGAAGCACTTCCAGAAGATGATATGTCAACAACACCAAAGGCAGAAGATTTGGCGAAAACACCAACACCCGAGATCGTTGATGGCTCGTCTTGGCAGCTCCAGATTCTCGATCGCGTAGCGCGGGAACTTGGCCTTATCGTCAACCAGATCTCTCCACACCCCCATCCTGGCGCCTTCTCCACCTACACACGTATGCAGCAGATGCCTCTGCCTTATGCTGGCTTGCCTGCCATTCCCGAGGCCATCGCCGATTCATCAAACGCACAAACTACCGTTGACGCATCAACCAAGATGCCCGAGTTCAGGCCAACGGTGCCTCACCAGGCACAGCCAATGGACATTCCTGGCGGACGGGGCTTTTCCGACGGCACGCATGGGGCCACATCTCGCGCCGAACCCAACGCAACCGCCTCGGCGGCGTTCACACAGTCGGAATGGGAGCAGGATCTTGACGTTAAGCTGGTCTTCCGTTATCTTCGCTCTCGATTTTCCCCACGCTCGTCGTCGACGCCAACCTTCACATCGGGCACATCTCACCTTGCCACTTGCAGCACCCAGGATTCAGCGGCCAAGGCGGCGCGGGTACGGCAGCATCACCCTCTTGTTGGCCGGACGCGGCCGCAGGTGGAACGTAGGACCTTCAAAGCTACAGCACCGGCAAGCCCGGCTGCGGCGAAGCGACACGCCTCTAGCTGCGCAAGCCAGAGCACAAGACGCTCAGCGCGGCGGAGTAGCGTGTCGTCGAGACATTATTGGGATATCGGAGGCTCTCTCGGCACGGGTTCCATCATCGCATCGGCTGGGCCCATGGGCAGCTGGGGAGAGATTTGATGACGCAGCGCATGACGATTACAGATAGAAACGGACAAGAACACGACATGGCGAGTGGCATTACAAGCGGGGCGTTCGGGTTTGCTTTAAGGAGCCTTGGAAATTTCGACACGGCGTTGTATTGCTTTTATGGCAGGCTCAATCACATATCAAATCATCTCAACTTTCAGAATACTCAGTATCAGACCTTCGTTGTACACTTGCGTATCGGGACACAGGGATCTTGAGCTGACGACTGGTGTGCGGCACCCTTTCCGTGCCGTGCAAGCGAAGATCTGCACTCCCTTACCGTCTTGACAGCGTTGTGTAACCATTGTACATGAGAAACAGGGCGAGAGTCAGGTACTGACGGCTTGTTTCACGTTTCACAGCCGCTTGAAGGGGCAGGCCGAGCCAGGGCATGGTGCAAGGAGGGCCTGAGGGTGCCTGGACACGCTGCCTCGAGGTGGGGATTGGCCCTCAAAATCTGGAACTTAGCGCTGTTCGGACATCTACGGGGGTTCTCCAGCGCAATGGGGACAAGCCAGGTGACGCTAAATGCTGTGCAATGGTCAAGCTTTTACTACCCCTGACCGTTCAGGCTTGTGTTTGACTAGTGACTGAGAGCCGCATAGTATATTTTCGTCAACCCTGTCACATCGCCATGCTTTGGGCACTGCGTTCTTTGCGTGGGAACCAAGGCTCAACCGTGTGCTGGAGGCCGCGTTTGACTGCTTTGAGCCAACAACAATTGCCTCATCGGCAGCAGAACACAGCTTCTTCTTTCGCCCATCAAGTCCTGGCATCTGTCGCAAGCCGCATGCTTCTCTTAGGTACAGAGGCCCGAGAACAAACCGGAATCCGTGCCATTGACAAGTGTCCATGCTTCCCCCTGATGTCGATCGTGCTTAGCCGCCCCATTATTCCATCTCGACAAACCCCCACTGCTGACGACAACGCGTGCCGAAGACACGCAGACTGCACGTACCGGGCGAAGACAGTCAACAATACGACAGGTGTATCAACGCCATTCTGTGCGGTCTCGATGTCGGCTGGGCGATCTGGTTCGTGGGCTTCCTGGTCAACTAGCGGGCCTGGAGCTGATCAGCTTGAAGGCCTGGTCGTTGCACCCTCCATCCCGAGGCTTCATCTAGACACCTCAGGTACTACAGCCGCCTGACTGATGCCATCAAGCGATGGGCAGGGGCAAGTAGATCGCACTTTCTTTTAGTGACACGGCGGGGCAGTCGATGAACAGGAAGTGCCGTGGTACTCCATGCAACAGGCAAGAAAGGTCATCGACACCTACCCAAGAAGTCACTGGGATTGCATATGGCAGGTAGAGTAGGCCCATATGATGCAACGTCCGCGCCACTCTTGCCGCTTACGCCCAACGGCCGAATTCATGAACAGAAGGTTGTTCTGATTTTCATGAGCCATCAGACTTCTTAAACCACCTCAAAACACCAGCCAAAAGTCTGTAAATGGTCGCCCGCTCGCCTCCACGCCTAGTGTTCCCATCACGGACCTTCTTGACCTTGCGGCGGGCCCTTTTCCATCCGGACTCCCACCCTGAAACGTCTTGCCTCAAGCATCCCACCCCACCCCTTACCACGCTCTCACACGTTGCCCGGCACAGCGTCTGCTTCTTCAGCTGGTGAATGGTACACGGGCCGACGAAGATAGAAACACGCCCGGAACAGCATCCCTAGCAGACTGCTGCAACGCGGACAGTGGATTGGTTTGCTGTCCATGATTAGCGATGCCCAGCTACCGCTGTTAGTTCGCCTACACCTCTCCTCTCATTCTTCACAGCTGTTCGCCCTCCCTACAACATCGAACTCGGCCACGAGAACCTCAACGACCGCGTGTCAGCCGAAGAGACCTGCTCCCAGCTACCAGAAATCACGGCTGGGAAGACCGCGAACTTGATTCACGCCCCGTCGGCTAACGAGCCGAGACGACCTTGTTAAGCTCTTGGCCCCCTTGCCCTGTCACCTAAGACCGCTCTTTCGATACAATCGTCCCATCACCCCCAGAAATCTATTGGACGAGCTCGACTCCTCCGATACTAAACGACCTCGTGTCGGCCTCTTTGGTACCTTCCCTCCCTCTACTCTCCTGTTTCACTCGGGATTCCTCCAAGTTGATTCTCGCTATAACACCACTCAGCAATCTAGCTCCTCGGGGTCTGTCTGCTGTCCTTTTCTTCTGCCCTCTACACCCCATTCATTGCAGGACAATGAACGGGCATGCTGGTACAATACACTCGGTCTCTCACGAGGAGACCCTTGGCCTTCTTGACGAGAAGTCCTTTTCCGACGTTGATAGTGAGAGCGGACATGCCGACATCGAGGTTAGGTTCGGGGTGCGCGGATGGAAGTCTCTTACCAGAAGTGGCACCAGCTATGTGCGGTCCATACATTGGAGGGTCGTCGTTCTCCGCATGGCCATATTTCTTCTTCCTAGCTTTGTTCAGAGCCGCTTTACACGACCGCAAACTCGAACCGACAAGCTAATGCCCACCTCTTACCTCGACGGCATGCGAGGTCTTGCCGCCCTCTTCGTCTTCTTCTGTCACTTTTTTTTTCCCAGGCGGTTCATCATCGCTGAAGGGTTACGGCTCCGCCCCGCACAACTATCATTTCCTCAAGCTGCCCATCATTCGCCTGTTCTATCAAGGTCCCCCAGCAGTCTGTTTGTTTTTCGTCATATCAGGCTATGCTCTTTCCTACAAACCGTTGAAGCTCATCCGCAGCCAAAACTATGAAGGCTTCGCTTCGACAATGAGCTCTTTGACATTTCGACGCATCATCCGCCTCTACCTGCCGCCTGCCTTCTCAACTCTCATGGTTGTCATCCTTCTTCGATTGGGTGTCTATGAGTGGACCAGGACGTTTGCCAACGATAGGGCTTACATGAGAAATGTCGTGGAGCCTCACCCTGAGCGCCTCGCAACGAGCTCGGAGCAGGTGTGGCACTGGGCTTGGAGCATGTTCAAGTTTGTTCATGTGTTCAGCTGGAACAAATTTGGAGGCAGCACATGTGAGTGTGGGATGCCCCCGAGAGGAAGGAAATGAGGCTGACTAGCGTGACGTCGACAGCGTACGATGTTCATCTCTGGACGATTCCGGTTGAATTTCGCTGCTCAATTTACCTCTTCATCACGACCATAGCCGTTGCGAGGCTGCGAACGTCCGTGCGATTTCTCACCATGTTGGGCATCATGTCTTTCACGTATCGCAACCAGCGATGGGAGCTCTTCCTCTTCTACAGCGGCATGGTCCTCGCCGAGCTCGACCTGATTCGAGGTGCCCACAGCCCCGCACCGGCTCTACCGATCCTTGAGAAAACTTATTCTAAGAAGAGCGCTCTTAGTGGTGTTATTTGGGCCATGCTGAGCATTCTGGCCATGGTTCTGATGTCGCAACCAGATGCTCGGTGCAGCGACACGCCCGGATGGAAGTGGCTGTGCTCTATGATTCCTACCTGGTGGCAGGAAGAAGGATACCGGTACTGGCAGTCTGCTGGGGCCATTCTCTTTGTGCTCAGCGTCAGCCACTCGCCCAGGTGGCAGAGATTCTTCAACACTGCACCAATCCAGTATTTTGGCAAGATCAGTTTTGCCATGTACTTGGTACATGGCCCTGTTTTGCATACCGTCGGCTACATGATTGAGAAGCGGGCATATGCTATGACGGGCATCGAGGGGTGGTGGTACAATTTCGGGTTCGTCCTGAGCTCGTTCGTTTGTGTCCCCGCCGTTATCTGGGCGGCTGACGTCTTTTGGCGCTTGATCGATGTTCCCACAGTCAAGTTTGCGCGGTGGTTTGAGACCAAATGCATCAAGCAACAGTGAGGTGACTGGGAGGTGCGTTTTGACAACATCTGATACCCCTCATTGAGTCTGTTTTATCTTTCCTTTTGTCAGACAGTGTTTGTTTTTGGGCCACCATTGTTGACGAAAATGGCCGGGACGGCGTTGAGTATGGGTGAATATTGGCATGGGATAGGGTACTGACTACCTGCCCGAAGGCATATGGCGTTAGGTATTGGGGCGGACCACAGTGCATATCGAGTGCATCCTCATCGCAGCGGTTAGCCTTTGACAGAACATAATATCACAGAATATACGTTTCATCTCGCATGTGGACGGTGCTTAACATGGCATATAGGTAGCGTCATTCAAGGGTATCACATTCGCTTTTGTTTTTAATTAAGAATGGACGTGTGCGGCCGGGACCTCTTCAGCCGACCATGCTCCTCTTGCGGCCCCTCATGCGGACGTCTTCCAGCTTGCGCAGAACCAAGGTCGACTGCTTCGCAGGCAAAGCCTCCTTGTAGCCCTCCAGCAACTCGGGGAAGAGAGATTCAGCGCGGGGGTGGGTGCTGCCGTAAGCCCGCTCCAAGACGTACAGGTCGACGGCACGGTCCTCGTCCATGGAATTTTGATAGGCGAGACCAAAGTCGATGAGAACAACGTCGCCCTGCAACGCACAGTCCACGCCTGCCTCGGGTCCAATCTCGGCCCCGGTCGCCGCTGTTGCCGTCGCTGGCTGGACGGCGCCGCAG